TTTTTTTTTTTTTTTTTTTTAATGTTTATCTATGTCTAAGGTGGGGGGATAGAGAGAAAAGGAGACAGGCTCCATGCTGTCAGCATGGATCCCAATGCAGGGCTCCAACTCACAAACCATGAGATCATGACCTGAGCTAAAGTTGGATGCTTAACTGAGCCACTTAGGTGCCCCAGAATAAGTCTTAAAATGTAACTGAGAACCTTTGTCCAAAATAAGAATTTCAGGAGTCTGTGTTGACATCCTTGATTAGTTTGATAGACTGTATTAGTAGAGACACAAATAGATATAGATGAAGTTTGGTTCTTGAACATAGAAAGGGCAGTTACCGGGATTGTCCTAGGAGAATACATAAAGTCTGTAAAAGCTCCCAGACCAACCTGTGTGTCTTCAACCATCAAGCATCCGGAGAGCCTGACCATCACTATTTGAGAAGTTATTTTAGCAAGAAAGTTATATAAAACAGTGAGAGAAGGCAGGTAGCCCTTTTCCTGAAATCCAAAATTAGTGTTTTTTCTTGTGTTATATCTTGAGTAAGCCTCTCCGTGTGTGCTGCATTCTCCTCCTCTTCTTTAGAACTTAGCTTAAATCGAATCCAAGCCTGTATGCTTAGGCTCTCTTCCTATCTGTGGCTTCCCCTGGACTTTGCTTAAAGGAGAGATAATACTCGTATACCTGCTGGAATCTGGCAGGTAACTGTGGGAGGAATTTATGTGCCTGGGATGCTCATGGCCCATCTAAAGGCAGCAGCTAGTTCTTGGCTTTGACCAGTGGTAATGCAGATCCATTCTTTCCAGAGTTTCTAGGTATTCCATTCTGGAAATCGGATTCATGTGTAATTTTTAAAATGAGTCAATTAACTCATATTTTATAAAGAAAAATTAATGGACCAAATGTATGTTGGCCAAAATTGGCCCATAAGCCATGAATTTGTAGCCACTGTTTTAGGGCAATGGGTTCTAATTAGAAATGCATAATAAAAATAACTTCTGGAGTTTTTTTGACCATATATGCCTAATCTCTAACCTCAGAAATGTAAATTGAACAGTTTAAGCAGAATGTCCCATATGTCAATACTGTCCCTCTCTTGAACTGAGTATTGTCATTGTTAGGCCCATACCTACCAGATTTGGCTCACTTAAATATTGCACTACAGATCAGACATGAGTTTGTCTCAGTTGTATATTTTAGGATTGGTATGTATTAGGCTGTTGGCTGGACCACGAATAAAGAAAAGCTGATCTGACTCCATTCCCAGCTGATCTCAACCTTACACTCTGCCCTATAGATCTTTGGTTTTGAGGCTGTTTCCTGTGTATGACAACTATATGCAAAATTAGGAAAAAAACCTTTTTTCTTCACCTTGCCTAAGTTGCTTATACTTAACCCTAAGTAAGGGATAAGACCTACTGATTGATTGATGTGGAGTCCAATGACTTCTGGTATTTGAAAAGTCTTGAAAGCTTTTGGTCAACTGACTTTCAGAAATATCACATCTGTGAGGCTGTGCCATGGATGTCCATCTTTATGTGTCCTAACCCCTTGCAGCAGGCCATGGTTGAGGTACATGACTCTATTCTAATCTGTGGGAACAATTTCCTAGACTAGCAACAGTTGAATGTATTAGATCTTAAAGGCTTGGGTTCTTGGCAGAAAACTAGTAGGATAAAAATGAATGTGCTTGGTACCTATAATCCCTGACCATCAAGGTAGACCTCAAAGAAGTTTTTGCTGAAAAAGAGAGGTGTATTTTTTGATGCAGTCCTTATAGATTTATTAGAATTTGGAGTATTTTGTTTCCTAAAGATTTCTGTGTAGAAAGTTAGGCTGAGTGGACATTATGGTTTACCTACTAATTTAGTGATTAACTTTTACATTATGTAAATTTGGAAGGACTGTATTCTCTCTTTTTTAAAACTTTTTTTAATGTTTATTTATTTTTGAGATGGAGACAGCACGAGCCATGGAGGGGCAGAGAGAATCCAGTGGGGGAGACACAGAATCTGAAGCAGGCTTCAGGCTCCGAGCTATCGGCACAGAACCTGATGCTGGGCTCGAACCCACAAACTATGAGATCACAACCTGAGCTAAAGTCGGGCGCTTAACTGACTGAGCCACCTAGGCGCCCCAGGACTATATTCTCTCTTTAGAGAAACTTCCCTGGAGGACGATACAGTTATACCATTCATTCCTGATAATTGCTGACTTCATTGGTACTAATCAAATTTTTAGCTTCATTACCTGTATCTACCAGGTATTTAGCAGTGAGCCTCTAAGTAAGCTTCACACCTTCTGTACCAAAGGAGGGCATATATGTCAAAGAGCCACTCTGACAGTAATCTCTGTGTCTGTTATCTTGGGCTAAATTATGTGAGTATCAAATTATCCCAATTTATAGTGACAACAACAAAGGTTCTCTTTTTCTTATATCATACGTATATCATGGGTCAACTGTGGTTCTACTCCATGTCATGTTTATTCCAGGACCCAGACTGCTGTTTGGGGCATGTCTAGTAAGCATAATGAATCATGATTTGTTTTTTTTTGTTTTTTGTTCTTTTAATGTTTATTTATTTTTGAGAGAGAGAAACAGAATGTGAGCAGGGGAGGGGCAGAGGGAGAGGGAGACACAGAATCCCAAGCAGGCTCCAGGCTCTGAGGCATCAGCATAGAGCCCGACGAAGGGCTCAGACCTATGAATTGTGAGATCATGACCTGAGCCGAAGTCAGAGACAAATTGACTAAGCCACACAGGCGCCCCCATTAGCTGTTTTTAAAGTATCCTTTCAAAGTGACCACTTCTACTCATGTTTCATTGGCCAAAGCAAGTCAGATAGCCAAGCCTGATGTCACTCAGGGGTGGAGAATAACTTTTGAACAGTAATACAGTCTAATGCAGTTCCACTTCCTTAAGTTCTTACAGCTGGTATCTTGGGCATCTGTTGCCACTCAACACAAAAAGCAGGAAGTGGGTGAAATCTGTGCCTGAATTGCACAACAGCGGCCATTGACACCGCAGCTATCAACTCTCTCATTGGACCTAGGCAATGGGACAGTCAGTAATTTTTTTATTTTCCAAAAGACCTCCTGGCATTGCAGAAATAAATAATAACCTCAGGAATGGTCACCGCTCTTACAAAGAACCATTTCCCCTTACCTGTTCTAGCTTCCACAACTTCCATGATGTATGCTTTCTAGGTTGCAAGTTAAACGCTGGTTCCCCCTCCTGGCCTTTGTGAAAACTCACAAGTAATGTTATTACATATACTATGCTCATTCATAAAAGCTCCCATTTTTAGGGGTGCCTGGGTGTCTTGGTCATTTAAGTGTCCGACTTTGGTCCGGGTCATCATCTCATGGTTGGTGAGTTTGAGCCCCGCATTGGGCTCTCTGCGCACAGCCGGCTTCAGATCCTCTGTATCCTTCTCTCTGCCTCTCCCTCGTGCACACACCACCCCCCCCCACCGCCGCCAAAAATAAACATTAAAAACTACTGTTTTTACCTTGAAGCGTCTTCTATCCTTCCTAGCTCTTTTTATCGGTTCTTGCTGCCACAAATTGAAGCTTATGCTCCCTAATGTTAATTGAATTTTTGTTTTTTTAAATTGTATATTCCAATAATGTTTTATCCAGTTTTGTCTCCTCAGTGAGCTCAGTACTCTTACTCAGATTCCAATCTTTGGTGTAGTATTGAGTTCATTACTTTAATGAATTGTGTCTTATTTCTAAAGAAATGGGCCAGGGGTGCCTGAGTGGCTCAGTCGGTAAAGCATCTGACTTTGGCTCAGGTCATGATTTCGCACTTTGTGAGTTCGAGCCCCGCATCGGGCTCTGTGCTGACAGAGCCTGGAGTCTGCTTCGGATTCTATGTCTCCCTCTCTTTCTGTTCCTCCCCTGCTCACACTCTGTCTCTCAAAAATAAGTATTAAAAAAAAAAATCTAAATAAATTGGGCCAATCACAAGTTCTCTAGATTGTATAGGGTGTTTTATCTGTGGAACGGCTCAACTCTCAATTCTGATTTCTCTTTGCCTCCCCTTTTCCCTGACTACCCCTGTGACTCCACTGAAAACCTTATTTTAAAAAAGTGTTTTGGAAAGTGTATATATTGCTACAGTGGATTAGTAAATATCTTTATCATGATACACTTAAAAATTGTATTTGATTATTATGTGGAATTGTTTACAGATTTGATAAAGTAGGAAATTCAATATACTACTTAAACTTCAAAGTTAAGATTTCACTTGTAAATAAATTTTTTTTGAAGTTTATTTATTTATTTTGAAAAAGAGAGAAAGAGCACAAGCAGGGGAAGAACAGAGAGAGAGAGAGAGAGAGAGAGAGAGACAAAGAGAATCCCAGGCAGGCTCTGCACTGTCTGAGCCACCCAAGTGCTCCAATAAATACAGTATTTCAAGCTTATCTTCTACTAGATGTTGTAAATATCTGAGTTGCTTGACTCTAGCTGTGTTGTTATGTTATGTTACCGTTATGTTATTTTTTACCTTAGCTTTTAAAACAGCAATTCTAGGGTGCCTGGGTGGCTCAGTTGGTTAAGCATCTGACTTGATTTTGGCTCAGGTCACGATATCCCAGTTTGTGGGATCGAACCCCGTGGCAGGCTCTGCACTGACAGCATTGAGACTGATTGGGATTTTCTCTCTCCCTCTCTCTCTGTACCTCCCCTGCACATGCACATTCTCTCTCTCCAAATAAATAAATAAACTTAAAATAACTATTCTAGAAGACAACTTCCAAAATAGTCATTTGTTTTTCTTTTTTTCCTATCTAGATCACAGGAGACCCCTGGAGATGGGCAGCCTCCAGCTTTACCACCCAAACAATCAAAGAAAAACAGTTGGAACCAAATTCATTGTTCACATTCTCAACAAGATCTGGAAAACCATATTAATGAAACATTTGATGTTCCATCTTCCCCTGAAAAATCTACTGTAAGTACCTACTTCAGATATTCTCACATCTCTTTGAATTTTTACTTTTATCATTTAGAGAGAGAGAGTATGGGAGAGAGGAAGAGAGAGAGAATCTTAAGTAGACTCCACACTCAGTGGGGAGCCCAGCCCAGGGCTTGATCCCACTACCCTGGGGTCATGATGCAAGCTGAAATCAAGAGTTGGATTCTCAACCAACTGAGCCACCCAGGCACCCTCCCTTTGAACTTTTTAATCTGTAATGAAATTTCTTTTAGACTGTGGTATGTTTTATCTGTAAATTAAGTTACTGTACTTTCTTTTTTTCATCATATGTTGGTCATGAATTTTGCCATGATTGACCCAATTGTGGAATTTCAACTTATCTTCATTTTTATTTTTTTATTTTTTATTTTTTTTTAATTTTTTTTTTCAACGTTTATTTATTTTTGGGACAGAGAGAGACAGAGCATGAACGGGGGAGGGGCAGAGAGAGAGGGAGACACAGAATCGGAAACAGGCTCCAGGCTCTGAGCCATTAGCCCAGAGCCCGATGCGGGGCTCGAACTCACGGACTGCAAGATCGTGACCTGGCTGAAGTCAGACACTTAACCGACTGCGCCACCCAGGCGCCCCTTATCTTCATTTTTAAAATGTTCATTGCTCTAGAAGTTAATTCCTGACAAATTTATGTTGATTTCAGTCTTGCAAAACACTCGCTTTTAAATTTTTTTTTTTTCAACGTTTATTTATTTTTGGGACAGAGAGAGACATAGCATGAACGGGGGAGGGGCAGAGAGAGAGAGGGAGACACAGAATCGGAAACAGGCTCCAGGCTCTGAGCTATCAGCCCAGAGCCCGACGCGGGGCTCGAACTCATGGACCGCGAGATCGTGACCTGGCTGAAGTCGGACGCTTAACCGACTGCGCCACCCAGGCGCCCCGCAAAACACTCGCTTTTAGAAGAAATGCTAATAATGCATTAAATATCACTAACTTTATTATATCATTCACCAGGTGCACGGACTTTATCAATCATTTTCATTAACCTTTTGAAGTTGAGTGCAGGTCCCTGGATTTTATGATCACTCTCTGCTCTATAAAATATATTTATGGATCATTTGGTGCTTTTCCTTTAGAGGACATGCTTTTACCACAACAAAATGGTAAATTTTTCGAATCTCCTGATTTATGAATTTTCATTGCTTTCTCAAGGAGATGTAAATAAACCAAAAGTGAGATTGTCAGTAAATTTTAGGGATACACTGTGTTCATGAAGAAGTTTCAAGACAGACAAATATGGGTATATTTCAGGAAACTTAAGGAGACATCAGGAAATAAAATAAGATACAGGGAGAGGAGGACCCGCAGCAGGTATTGGTAGGGCCAGAAGTTCCTGGTCACCGCCTCTGTGGTAGCCCTCTTATGTCTAAAGTTTGAAGAGCACGAAGCAGCCACTCTGTTCTCCCACAGTTACTGCTTCACCACCACAGGCACATCCAAAAACAATCAGAATCCTTACCAAAAATGAGTAACACATTTGGTGATACCTGTGTGGTGATTCTCCTGTATCGCTCACTCATACATTCATTCATCGCTTCATAGTCACTGAGGTCTTTCTATGAGCTCGGTACTTTGGTGGGTAGTGGGAATATAAAGACAAATAAGACATGGTCCCTGCTATTAAATAATCTACAACCTAATTTATTTAATCCTTTATGCAAACATTAATTATTAAGAATTGTGCATTGTTACAGGCTTTGGGGATATATTGGAATAAAATAGGAAAAAAAACCCCAAAAATTCTACCTTCAAGGAACTTACATTTTGGGGATAAGGGCGAGACAAACAGTAAACAAGGTAAATAATCTAAATATATAGCATGTTAGATAGTATACCTTCTGGGGAGAATAGTAAAGAAGGAAGGGGCTAGAGAATTTCAGGATTAGAGGACCACAGTTTTAAATGGTGTAAGCCAGGGATGAACTCAGTGATGAGTCAGATAGATAGCTAGTGGAAGATCGGGGAGCTGAGGGAATAGAAGGTACAAAGCCAGGAGTATGACTGATACGGTCAAGGAACACCAAGAGAATCAGTGTGGCTCGAGCAAAATGAGCTAATGAAGAGGAGATAGGTACAGGAGAAAGCCAAAGTCTTTAAAGATGGTGTTTTTTAACGCTGAGTGAGATACGAAACAAAAGGGACAGGTCATATGTGAGGAGAAAAGCAGCATGATGTCACTTAAGTTGTAAACAGTGTCAGTCTGACTGTTGCATTGAGAATAGACAAAGGGTAGAAGCAGAGATACTGGTTGTGAGGTCATGCAGTATTCAAGCGGTGGTGATTTGGATCCATATGGTAGCAGTGGAAGGAGGAAGACATGGCTGTATTCTGGATAGTTTTAGAACAGAGCTAACATAGTATGCTGAGGGATTGGATGTGGAGTGCTGGAGAAAGAGGAATCCAAGATAACAGCAAGGTTTGGGCCTGAACACCAAGGTTTTACGAAGTTTCTGTTTACTGAGAAGTAAAAGGCTGCAGGTAGAGCAGGTATGGGTGATATATTAGGGGTACAGTTTGGGACATAAGTTTGAGATGGCTACTAGAAGTCCATTTACAGGTATGATTCTGGAGTTGAAGAGAAAGGTCCAAGCTAGGGTTATAATAACACTGAGGGTTGATGGCATGTAGACAGTATGTAAAATCACGAGAGAGGAAAAAAAACACCAAGGAAGTGTAGTGTGTGCTGATAACTAAATAGGAGGTTCTAGGAGGTCTTCGGTTCTCCAAAATCTAAGCATTAGGGAGATGAAGAGACCAGCAAAGGACACTGAGAAGATTCAGACAGCAAGGTAGGAAGAAAACTAGTCCACCGGCTAACTGACTAATGGCAAGAAAGTCACAGAGAGAATAGCCAACTTTGTCAGATGTTACTGGTAAGTCAAGACAAGGATTGACAGTTGAACACTGGATTTAGCAATGTGAAACTCTTTGGTGACTTAATTAGAACAGTTTTGATGGAGCATTGGAGATAAAATCATGACTCTGAGAGGAGAGATCAGAGGGAATAGAGATAGCAAATGTGGCCAACTCTTTAAAGACATTTAAGAGCAGGAGGAAGGAGACAAATGGGGCGTAACTAGATGGGGAAGTGGAGTCCAGAGAAAGTTCATTTTTTTTAAGGGGACACATAAAAGTATTTCTCGGAAGGGTGGGGAAAATGGATAATGTAGGAGAGTAGAGAATTAATTGCTATAGCAGTATCCTTGAGTATGGAATAGGACCTGGGTCTAGAGCAAGTGGGAAATCAGTTTGAAGGTAATATAATTAGAAGTGATTAGGGGCGCCTGGGTGGCGCAGTCGGTTAAGCGTCCGACTTCAGCCAGGTCACGATCTCGCGGTCCGTGAGTTCGAGCCCCGCATCAGGCTCTGGGCTGATGGCTCAGAGCCTGGAGCCTGTTTCCGATTCTGTGTCTCCCTCTCTCTCTGCTCCTCCCCCGTTCATGCTCTGTCTCTCTCTGTCCCAAAAATAAATAAACGTTGAAAAAAAAAAATTAAAAAAAAAAAAAAAAAAGAAGTGATTATAAGGAAGGAGATACAAATAACTAATGCAGCTGTAGGGTTAAGGGAAGACTTCCCAAAGTGAGCATCTCTGACCCGTGTCTTGAAGGATAAGCAAGAATTAGCCAGATACTTACCCTGAAAGCACGCATAAAACATATTCAGTGAAAGTAACCAGTTCCAAATGACCGTGTACACGAAATGTCCAGAATAGTCAAATGTAAAGAGAAAGAAAATAGATTAATGGTTGAATAGGACTTAAGGAATGGGGGGGTGAAGGGATGGGAAATGACTGACTGCTAATAGGTACAGGATCTCTTTGTGACAGGGCTGAAAATATTTTAAAATTAAATGGTAGTGGTGTTTCTACAACGCTGTGGCTATAGTAAAAATGATTGAATTAAACACTTTGCATGAAGTGTATATGATGTGTGAGTTATATCCCAATAAAGCTGTTTTTAAAAAGCAGAGGGAGGAATGTGAGTTCCTGTAACACTTACGAACACTTGTTGTGTGAAGAGCTTTGAGCCAGGTTCTAGGGTTATTGCAATTAATAACGTCAATCATAATGCCCCTGTTCCTCCTTGCACTTAGTGTAGCATGCAGTGACAAGGAGGCTGTATCTAGTTGTGTAACTGCAAGTTAGTAATCAGGATTTACTTTCCTGGGGCTCCTGGGTGGCTCAGTTGGTTAAGTGTCCAACTTCAGCTCAGGTCATGAACTCACGGTTCATGAGTTAGAGCCCCACATCAGGCTCTGTGCTGACAGCTCAGAACCTGGAGCCCGCTTTGGATTTTGTGTCTCCTTCTCTCTCTGCCCCTCCCCTGCTCGTATTCTGTCTCTCTGTCTCTCTCTCTCAAAAATTAAAAACTTAAATTCAAAATTTTAATTCAGGAAACTACATTGTTTTTAAAATTTTTAAAAATATTTAAGTTATGACTTTTTATATGTGGTAGATAATATTAATGTACAAAAAGCATACTTCATGTATATATTTCAAGGAGAGATTATAAGTGAGGAAGATTACAAGTTATTTATTTTTCTTTAAGCCTAATGGTGGTATCCCACAAGATAATCTTGTTCTAATCAGAATGAAACCTGATGAAAATGGAAGGTTTGGATTCAATGTGAAGGTAATCTAGGATTTACATTGTACTCAGTTTTTAAATTAAGATGTGTCTATTTTTGGTAATATTTGACTGATACCTGATTTGCTCTGTTGTTAAGGGAGGGTATGATCAGAAGATGCCTGTGATCGTGTCCCGAGTAGCACCAGGAACACCTGTGAGTTCTCTATATCTTGCAAGTAAATCCTATTTTCAAGAACATGTACTCATTTTATTTTTATTAGTTTAAATAAGTGGGAAAAAATTAATCTTTTCTGAAAATTTGTCAAGTATCAAATGTTGGCTAAATCTCTTAAATTGTTGGGAAGTTTTCTAACTTCCTGTGTATAAGAGTTTTTTTAAATCCATGTTTTTGGAAAGAAGCTGTTTATAACTTTCAGTTACAGAAACTACAGTTTCTAAAGTGCTAATAGATTCTATCAAAATAACTGCTCTAAATAGAAAAATGGAGACAGAGGTATAGTATTTGTTTTGCTTTTTTGTTTGGTATTTTCATATAGAATTGTTTACCTATAATCTGTTTGCCTACTTTGTGTTTTAAAAATTGACTTTAAATAGGTATGATAACTAGTGATTTTTTTCCCTATAGGGACAGTTTTTAAACTTTGTATTATAAACATTGTAAACAGAAGTTGAGAAAACACTGTATGTACCCATTATGATGAACCCTCCTGTTCCCTTAATTCACCTTCAGGATTCATGAACTTTCTGCTTATCACAAGGACAATTCTTAATGAGTTGTGGGTGTGTTCTCTTTATTGCTCTTTTATGTAGCAAATATTGCCCTCAATTTCCCATTTCTGTTGTTGCCTACTTGACCTAAATGGTCTTCAAGGAGTTTTCCATCAGCATCTTTTATCATTTACCTGTCTCTGTGTCCACAGACAGATATAAACGAGCAGCCTGAAAGAGTCCAGTTAGGCTTTTTTTTTGGTGCTGCGCAGCAACCTTATAATTGATTTGATGATCACAGTCAAGATTGATCAAGGATATCACAATACATACCTTTGGTTCTGGTTGTTAAGGACTTTGTTGGTTGCAAATAACAGGATACTCTGGAATACCACTGGCTTATGCATAAGTACAAAATGTGTCCTATAGCTATAGTAGTACCTCACAAAACCCAAAGATAGGAATGCGGTCAGACCTGGAGGGAAAAAAAACCAAAACTTTAAAATAAACATCAGGACTCTCTATTTTTCACCTCTTGTTTCTTTTTGTGCTCCATTCTTCTCTCCCACTGCAAACCAGTTTGTGTAGGGAATCAGCCTCATCTGTCTAGTTCCTCTAAATAAAATACAGGCTGAATAAAGACCGTGTACTTAGTAGCAGCTTCAAGTTAGTCCTGTAACATTCCCACCACATACTCTACTTTCAAATATGATTATGACCCTGACTCTGTACGACGAAAGAGAAACTGTATAGCTACCACCATTCTTAGTTTATGTGGTGGGCTACTGGTAACTTGTAGGTTTATATATTACCAGTTTAGTAACCCAGAGTGATTAAACCTCTCAGTCCAGTTTACAGACTTCTGGGAATTAAGTCCTTTATAGATCCAGCTTGTATCAGATGTCCTCTTTTCAACACATCACTTGGGGTCAGTGGGGACAGGCCAGGGATATGATATATAAAATGCCTCTTGAACCTATTCATGTGAAGGCAGGGGACAAAGATGGGGGAAATAGTCCAAAATTATTTATTAGTATATATATAATGGGAAATATGTATGTTTAGGACAGACTGCAGATGCAGAGATGAAAGATTGTTAAATTCTCATCTGTAGGTAACATCTAAAATAGAAAACTAAAGAAAAACAAAATCAGGATGTTATTTGGAGATAGTGAAATAGATACAAAAGATGTAGCTAAAGTGTTGAAAGAAGTTGCCTGGGGTGGGGGAGCAGGATGTACAGAGGAACACAAGGAATGGTTGCTTGCCTTAGTAATCTTGTAGACTTAGTCATTTCTTCAAGCTGTGTGATGTGAACTTTACTAAAAACAAAAATTTTAACTAAAATTTTTTTAAGTCAAATACATATCTTTTGACGTGATGATTCCACTTCTAGCAGTTGCCAGTAATGAAGCAGTTGGACTAGGGAACAAAGGATATGCAAGGAAGTTCATTGTAATATTGTTTATAATAAAGATTGGGGTGGTGGTAAAACGTACATCATTGAAGTTGGTGAAATAAATTACGTGCTGCTTTACAGCTGTTGAAATGATAGGTGATGTAGTTCTATATAAGTATGGAAATAGGTTCATAAAATGGTGTCATGGAAAATGTGTATTATTGCTCCCCATGTATGTTTGATCCAGTTTTTTTAAATGTGAGTTAGTGCTTTAAAATTTTGGGAAATAGGGGTGCCTGGGTGGCTTAGTTGGTTGAGTGTCTGACTCAGCTCAGGTCATGATCTTGTGGTTCATGGGTTCGAGCCCCATGTCAGGCTCTGTGCTGCCAGCTCAGAGCTTGGAGCCTGCTTCGGATTCTGTGTCTCCCTCTCTTTCTGCCCCTCCCCTGCTCACACTCTGTCTCTCTGTATCTCAAAAATAAATAAACATTTTTTAAAAATTTAAAAAGTTTGGAAACATACTCAAAATGCTAATAGCTTTTCATCTGGGTAGTGGAGTTATTGGTGTTTATCACTTTGTTTTGTATTCGTCTCTTTAGTTGTCTGAATCATGATAATGAGAATGTGTTGCTCTTGTAATTAGAAAAGATAATATATCTTTTTTTATTTATCCACCAGTTGTAATAGTAACTGAATGACATAAAAGAAATACTAATTTTCCTGAGCAGTGAATGTGGATCATTTTCAATTAAGTCAGAGGTGTTCAGGGAACATCATATAGACAGGTTTATTTCTGAACAGAATTCTGTGACTCTAAATTTTCTTTTTAGGCTATACAGATTATTGATAATTTTCCCTATCTGCCGTGTAGAGCTATGTCCCATAAATATTGGCTGAAGGACACCTCACTAGCTCAGTCAGTAGGGCGTGTGACTCTTGATCTCAGGTCACGAGTTCAAGCCCCACATCTCGTGGAGAGCCCACCTTTAAAATTTAAAAAAAAGTCGCAGTTAGAAAACACCACATTTAAAAGATAAGAGAAGACACAAAAGTTCCCAAAAGGCAGAGAATGAGAGACAAGAAAGGTGGATGGAAAAAACAAAACCAGCGAAGCATAATAACAGTTAAGGGAGGAAGAAAGAGGTTTCCAGAAGGAAGCCTTAAAAAATATATTGGCTGAAGTTAGAACAATAGAAACTTATCATTTTTATATTATCTTCTTAGAGACCATCACAGTGTTCCAGTTGGAAACCTCATTTTAGGTGATTGGGGGAAAAGAACAGGACTTCAAATATTTTAATGTTATTTTTTATATTGGACACCTTCTGAAATGGTTAAAATAATTCCCAATTAAAGCCATGTTTTTCTTTCTGTCTGATTATCTTTGAGCCAGCAATTGATGCTCCAACAAAATGCGTTTAAATATATAGTTTATTGGGGTGCCTGGGTGTCTCAGTCGGTTAAGCATCCTGACTCTTGATTGTGGCTCAGGTCATGATCTCACAGTTTGTGAGATCAAGCCCTGCATCAGGCTCTGCGCTGACAGTGCGGAGCCTGCTTGGGATTCTCTCCCTCTCTCTCTGCTCCTCCCTGCCCCGCCCCTGACTCAAAACAAGTAAACGTTTAAAAATGAATAAATAAGTATGTAGTTTATCTAGACTTTCCAGATCAGAATGCAAATAAATAAATAAAATGCAGCTTCAGCTTCCACAAAAAAAAAAAAAAAAAAAAGAATGAAAATAGAAATTTATAAATAAACCCGATGAAAGGCAGATTAAGTATGAGAGAGTTTCTGTTAGTGATAATGGGTTCAAAAAAATTAATCTCTGCATGTTCTAGCATATTGATTAACTACCCCATTAGCCTCAGTCTCTGAACTGGAAATATCAGTGGATGTATTCAAGGTACAGTAAGAGAAATGCATAGCTATTCTCTTCCTACCACATGGACTGCCGCCTCTTTCCTGCCAGCTGTACTGTCCACAAATAAGGTAAGAGGGTAACCCTTTACTCAAGCCCATTACATTCTCCCAGTACCATTGATATGGAGCAGTTCACCACTCTTCGGGTACCGCAGAGGCATTTACAAAAACTAGGGACCATATTGGTACACAAAAGTATCACAGTGCTAGTGCACAGAGGGAGTATATGAATGTCATCTCCACTGTGAGAAGTAGAGAAAGGAGCGACTAGAGAGAATGGTCATTACTTCTGAACTTGCATTTTCTAGATTGTAATGCTCTGCATTGAATCATCACATTTCTGTCTTTACAAACCTGTGAAATAATTAGAGCAGATACCTGCTCCATTTCCAGAGTTTCATGTGTTTAAAATCACACACTTTGTAAGCAGCAAAGGAAGAACTTTTGCTCTTGCCACTAGTGACAGTACCTTGTTGGATTTTGTTGACTTTTTTATTATTATGAATTTGACTAGTAGTGCTTTCATTTCTTCAATCCCTTTTTTGTAAGATCCGACCCTGTCATTTCCTTCTCTGTCCGACCTATCATCCTTCAGACTTGACGCCCATCTGTTCGCATTGCTGTGTTCCTGGAGCATGCCGTCCATACTTGTGCTTGCCTCTTTTAGCCTAATTACCTTTGTTTTCTCAGTAAAATGCAGGCCGCTGTCACTTCGCACTGTAGTGCAGAACCATAAAAACGACCGTGCAAGCTGACACTGTGTAAAGCGATCTTGATAATCAGTGGGAAAAGTCATGGTGATTTCTAGGACCTTTAAATTTTTTATCAAATAATTGAAATTTTCTTAGTTTCTCTTATAAATATATAGGGAGATGAAAAAATAGTAAAACTAATAGTGCTTTATTATCCTCTAATTCAAACTATCAGAAACACTGAGAAATATAAAGCAAGCATTCTATTTTCTGATGGAAACTTACCACAACTATGTTGAAACTTGTTTCCCTTACTGTCATGTAACTTAAAATACAAGAGTGAGCATTTTTCTTTCCTTGGCAAATTGTCCTAATCCTTTCTAAATTTGTATTCACTTTTAGCATTCATCCTGTGCATTTTCAGTGTTATGAAATATACCTTTAGTGAGAACTTTTTTGCCAGCCTCACTTCCTCTAGGACATTTTCATCTTTCTCATCACAGCCACTTTCGTCATTTATGTTGATAAGTCTGCCTTCACTGAATTCCTTTCACTGCATGCCTAGAGGCTAACAATAGCCGTAGCAGCAACATTTCCACTGTCAGCGGTTGATATTTGCATTTTGCTTCCAGCACTATCACTCTTTTGTTTCTTTGTTGCATTTTTAACTTTCCTGGCTAGTTCCTGCTTTATATTTACGTGGGTTTATCACTGGGAGACATGGAGGTGACACAAGTACCTGCTTTGCTGTCCTTGCGTGAACCGAATAACAGATGCACATCACCAACAGACTTTGAAAGAAGCGATGTGTGATAGGTCACTGATTGTGATGTGTGTCTGTTACTTATGTCGTGATTTGTGGACTCACAAGCTAGTAGCCAAGTTCGTATGTTATGCAATTATTCAATTAATGCATCGTGGCAACTGCAATCTGAACCTTGTTGGGAGATGGGTGTTATCTAACTGTACTGTGGTGACAAATTTGTACATATCTGGACCATGCAAAGTGAGGGCTGCCTGTATCTATGCACCTTGAGGCATAGTCTTATCTGTGTATCTAGGCGTATAATAGGACATCAAGGAAGAAGTTGTTGAAAAGAAAAAGAAAAAAAGGTAGTAGCTTCATGGGAAAGCTAGATTTCTACTTCTTGCAAACAGATGAGTAAATGGATGGATGCTGTTCTACATATAGTTTTTGTTCTCCTGCTGTAGTGTCTATAAAAATAAATTCCTGTGCTTTACTTTCAGAAAGCCATGTACACACCTGAAACTTTATTTATGTTACATTATAGGCTGACCTCTGTGTCCCTCGATTGAATGAAGGGGACCAAGTTGTACTGATCAATGGTCGGGACATTGCAGAACATACCCATGATCAAGTTGTCCTATTTATTAAAGCTAGCTGCGAGAGACATTCTGGGGAACTCGTACTTCTGGTTCGACCTAATGGTGAGTACTCTATGTAGCACTGGATATTTTTATTGTTTCTTACCTTTGTTACTAGATGCAGCAACCAGAGCGGGCTTTTAAAAAACAAATCATGCCATGACAGTTTACTGCTCAAAGTGGCTTGCATTCACACTTGCGGTAGGATTCAGTTCTTGGCCCCTTGTCTACCACACAGCCTTGCTCATTCTCCTCTGTTCTGTGCTGGCTTTTTAAAAATTCCTTCTGCCCACTCTCAACAATAGTCAAATTATGGAAAGAGCTTAAATGTCCATCAGCTGATGAATGGATAAAGAAATTGTGGTTTATATACACAATGGAGTACTACGTGGCAATTAGAAAGAATGAAATATGGCCCTTTGTAGCAACGTGGATGGAACTGGAGAGTGTTATGCTAAGTGAAATAAGTCATACAGAGAAAGACAGATACCATATGTTTTCACTCTTAGGTGGATCTTGAGAAACTTAACAGAAGTCTATGGGGGAGGGGAAGAAAAAAAAAAAAAAAAAAAAAAAAGAGGTTAGAGAGGAAGAGAGCCAAAGCATAAGAGACTCTTAAAAACTGAGAACGAACTGAGGGTTGATGGGGGGTGGGAGGGAGGGGAGGGTGGGTGATGGGTATTGAGGAGGGCACCTTTTGGGATGAGCACTGGGTGTTGTATGAAACCAATTTGACAATAAATTTCATATATTGAAAAAAATAAATAAATAAAAATAAAAATTCCTTCTGCCTAAGATGTTCTTCTTGATTTTTCTATGATTTATATCTTCATTCAGGTCTCTGCTCAGATGTCTTCCCCAGAAAATCCTTCTCTTCTGACTACCGTAGCTAAAAAGGCCTCCCTCTTCCCTCAGTTGCTCTAGTAGTGGTCGGTACACAGTAAATACTTGTTAAATAAATGAGTATATTTTGAACCACTTTTATTTACTTTTTTTAAAAGTAAATCCAAGTTAGTTTTTAAATCCAAGTTAGTTAACATACAATGTAGTAATGGTTTCACAAGTAGAATTGAGTGATTCATCACTTAAATATAACACCCATTGCTCATCCCAACAAGTGCCCTCCTTAATGCCCATCACCCATTTAGCCCATCCTCACACCCCACACCCTCCCAGCAACCCTCAATTTGTTCTTTCTATTTAAGAGTCTCTTCTGGTTTGTCTCCCTCTCTGTTTTTATCTTATTTTTCCTTCCCTTCTCCTGTGTTTATCTGTTTTGTTTCTTAAATTCTACATGAGTGAAATCATATATTTATTTCTCTGAATGACTTATTTCGCTTAGCATAATACATTCTAGTTCCCTCCACATTGTTGCAAATGGCAAGATTTAATTCTTTTTTTTTTTTTTTTTTTAATTTTTTTTTTCAACGTTTATTTATTTTTGGGACAGAGAGAGACAGAGCATGAACGGGGGAGGAGCAGAGAGAGAGGGAGACACAGAATCGGAAACAGGCTCCAGGCTCTGAGCCATCAGCCCAGAGCCCGATGCGGGGCTCGAACTCCCGGACCGCGAGATCGTGACCTGGCTGAAGTCGGACGCTTAACCGACTGCGCCACCCAGGCGCCCCGAGATTTAATTCTTTTTGATCACTAGTATTCCATTATACACACCCAGACACGTACACACCACATGTTCTTTATCCATTCGTCAGTCGGTGGATGTTTGGGCTCTTTCCATAATTTGGCTATTGTTGATTGTGTTTCTGTAAACATTGGGGTGAATGTGCCCCTTCAAATCAGCGTTTTTGTATCCTTTGGGTACATACCTACTAGTGCAATTACTGGGTCATGGGGTAGTTCTAGTTTTAATTTTTTGAGGACCCTCCGTACTATTTTTCATAGTGGCTGCACCAGTTTGCATTCCCAGCAATAGTGCAAAAGGGTTCCCCTTTCTCCACATCCTTGCCAACATCTGTTGTTTCCTGAGTTGTTAATTTTAGCCGTTCTGACCAGTGTGAGGTGGTATCTCATTGTGGTTTTGATATGTATTTCCCTGGTGATGAGTGATGTTGAACATCTTTTCATGTGTCTGTTAGCCATCTGGATGTCTTCTTTGGAAAAGTGTCTATTCATGTCTTCTGTCCATTTCTTAATTGGATTATTCTGGGGCGGCAGCAAGTTGAATTTGGTAAGTTCTTTATAGAGTTTGGATACTAACCCTTTATCCAGTATGTCATTTGCAAATATCTTCTCCCATTTGGTTGCTTGTCTTTTAGTTTTGTTGATTGTTTCCTTCACTGTGCAGAAGCTTTTTATCTTGATGAGGTCCCAGTAGTTCATTTTTGTTTTCATTTTCCTTGCCTCTGGAGACATCTACGAAGAAGTTGCTGCCTGTTTGTCCTCTAGAATTTTGACGGTTTCCTGTCTCATACTTAGGTCTTTCATCTATTTTGAGTTTATTTTTGTATATGGTGTAAGAAATGGTCCAGGTCTTTTGCCATGTCGCTGTCAAGTTTTCCCAACACCATTTGGTGAAGACACTGTGTTTTTTTCATTAGATATTCTTTCCTGCTTTGTCAAAGATTAGTTGGCCAATCATTAGTGTGTCCATTTCTGGGTTCTCCCTTCTTTTCCATTGATCTATTTTTGTGCTGATACCATACTGTCTTGATGATCACAGCTTTGTAATACAGCTTGAAGTCTGGAATTGTGATGCCTCCAGTTTTGTTTTTCTTTTTCAATGTTACTTTGCTATTTGGAGTCTTCTGGTTCCATACAAATTTAGAATTGTTTATTGTAGCTTTGTGAAGAATGCTAGTTTTTGGTAAGGATTGCGTTGAATGTAGATTGCTTTGGGTATCATCAACACTTTAATAATACTTGGTCTTCCAATCCACGAGCATGAAATGTTTTTCCATTTCTTTGTGTCTTCTTCAGTTTCTTTCGTAAGGTTTCTATAGTTTTCAGCATGCAGATCTTTCACCTCTTTGGTTACGTTTATACCTAGGTATTTTATTATTTTCAGTGTCATTGTAAATGCGATTGATTCCTTGATTTCTCTTTCTGTTGCTTCATTATTGGTGTATAGAAATACAACCGATTTCTAGGGGCGCCTGGGTGGCGCAGTCGGTTAAGCGTCCGACTTCAGCCAGGTCACGATCTCGCGGTCCGTGAGTTCGAGCCCCGCGTCAGGCTCTGGGCTGATGGCTCAGAGCCTGGAGCCTGTTTCCAATTCTGTGTCTCCCTCTCTCTCTGCCCCTCCCCCATTCATGCTCTGTCTCTCTCTGTCCCAAAAATAAATAAATGTTGAAAAAAAAATTAAAAAAAAAAAAAAAAGAAATACAACCGATTTCTATATATTGACTTTATATTCTACACCTTTGCTGAATTCACATACCAGTTCTAGTAGTTTTTTGGTGGAGTCTTTCAGGTTTTTCCATGTAGAGTGTCATGTCGTCTACCAAGAGTGAAAAGTTTGACTTCCTGCCGATTTGGATGCCTTTTATTTCTTTTTGTCTGATTCCTGAGGCTAGGACTTCCAATTCTATGTTGAATAATAGTAGTGAGAGTGGACATCCCTGTCGTGTTCCTGACCTTAAGGGGAAAGCTTTCAGTTTTTCCCGATCAAGGATGATATTAGCTGTGGGTCTTTTGTACATGGCCTTTATGATCTTCAGGTATGTTCCTTCTATCCCTACTTTCTTGAGGACTTTTAAAAAGAAAGGATGCTGTATTTTGTCAAATACTTTTTCTGCACCTATTGAGAGGATTATGTGGTTCTTATCCTTTCTTTTATTAATGTGATGTATCATGTTGATTCATTTGTGTATTTTGGACCAGGCCTATAGCCCAGGAATAAATCCCACTTGAGTAATTCTTTTTAATGTATTGTTGCATTCAGTTTGCTAGTAACTTGTTGAGAATTTTCACATCCATATTCATCAGGGAAATTGGTTTGTAGTTCTCCTTTTTAGTGGGGTCTTTGGTTTTGGAATTAAAGTAATGCTGGCCTCATAGAATGAGTTTGGAATGTTTTCTTCCATTTCTTTCTTTTCTTTTCTTTTCTTTTCTTTTCTTTTCTTTTCTTTTCTTTTCTCTTTTCTTTTCTTTTCTTTTCTTTTCTTTTCTTTTCTTTTCTTTTCTTTTCTTTTCTTTCTTCACCTTCAAAAGATTGGTATTAACTCTTCTTTAAATGTTTGGTAGAATTCCCCTGGAAAGCCATCTGGCCCTGGACTCTTGTTTTTTGGGAGATTTTTGATGACTGATTGAATTTCCTTACGGTTATGGGTCTGTTAAAATTTTATCTTTTCCTGTTTCTACTTTATATGTTTCTAGGAATTTGTCCATTTTTTCCAGATTGCCCAATTTGTTGGCATATAATTGCTCATAATATTCTCTTATTTGTATTTCTGTGGTGTCAGTTGTGATCTGTTCTCTTTTGTTCATGATTTTATTTGGGTCCTTTCCTTCTTTTTGATAAATCTGGCTAGGGATTTATCAATTTTGTTAATTCTTTCAAAGAGCCAGCTCCTGCTTTCATTAATCTATTCTACTGTTTTTTGTTTTTATTTCGATATCCTTGGTTTCTGCTCTTTATCATTTCCCTTCTTCAGGTTTTAGGCTTTATTTGCTATTTGTTTTCCAGCTCCTTTAGAGGTGTATGATTAGGCTGTATATTTGAGACATTCCCCCTTCTTTAGGAAGTCTTGGATTGCTATGTACTTCCCTCTTAAGATTCCCTTTGCTGTCTCACAGAGGTTTTGGACACTTTTGTTCTCATTTTCATTGGCTTCTATGTACTTCTTAATTTCTTCTTTAATTTCTTTGTTAACCCATTTGTTCCTTTCTTTTTTTAATTAAAAAAAATTTTTAACGTTTATTCATTTTTTGATAGAGACAAAGTATGAATGGGGGGAGGGGCAGAGAGAGAGAGGGAGACACAGAATCCAAAGCAAGCTCCAGGCTCTGAACTGACAGCACAGAGCCCAATGCGGGGCTGGAACCCACGGACTGTGAGATCATGACCTGAGCTGAAATCGGATGCCCAACCGACTGAGCCACCA